TCAGACAGACCTCATTGAACGCACCTCGTCCAACGTCGTCTGCTATGATAATTTCTAGCGACGGACCGTGGACTTGGTATATTTCCTGTCGTTTCCCTGGCATTTTAGTCGGTATCATCAGTGAGCACTCTTAAAATAGTCAAGTTCGTCGAACAAGGTATTCCACCTGTTTATATGACGAATTGCAGTTTTGTGTTAGGACGATGTCTACTAACAAACCGGCAAGACGCCTTGAAATGTACAAGGTCTACCACCAGGAATTAGCATAACAACCAAAGAAGAGGACTCTGGACAAGTTGCGTTAAACCATTTCCCTGTAACAAGTCGAATTATGGCCAAACCATTTCTAGGGGGACTAAATCATGATTCACTGCCATCAGTTGAGGCAAAAGTGGTGGTAACATGTCGAGATTATTAGCTATACTACCCGGCTTTGGGTCCCGTTTGGGATGCTTATGCTACCCAGACGAGGTCGAAACTATGGTCCATTTGGGACGGAAATATCTTTTAGAAAGCAAGGCTAAGTGAAATTCTCTGACATCATCAGACCTAATAATAGCATTGAACTGACTTTCAGATGACCCTACATCCCGTAATGTAATCCCATACATGCTAAAGTTGACTGCCTTTTCAACCTCGCTTGAAATGGTTCCATCAGCCACCCCAACGGGAATCGGACACATTTGGTAAGGGCATTACTGAATTAGTCACATTTATACTGGCGTTGTCAATGAAGTAAACTTTTATTTGCATAATGTTATACTCTGCTACCTACATTCATAATGAGTGGGTTTTTTAAATTAATATATCTTGAATAAGTTCAGTAGTCATCCCAAAACTTATAAGTTAGTAAAAGATGGACCGTAAGACTAGCCGAAATTAATTTTCATTGTAATAAAATATAGTTATTAGACCTTCATTACCTTATGTGGCCTAAAGTAATTACAGCTCCAATTCAATCCACTGATAGTATCGTAATCTACTCAAAAATGGTTGTTTGCGCTCATTCGGAGGCCGCTTTTACCAAAAAAAATTTTGAAATGCATTTTTACATTTTTTTGGTATTTTCATTGTAATGATAAAGAATATCTCCATAACTTGATAAAAATAGCTCATTGCTCGCTATGAATGTATCTATGAAATTTAAGCTCAAGTTTTTCCTGTTCTGAACTGTTCCATTAAACCGATGAGAGGGCCAGAATCCTAATAGCTATCCAACTGTGAGCAATTATTCACGTGCCAAAGTAAACGTCTCTCTCACACACGAAAAGAAATCATTGAGAAACTTACGATTTTCAGGATTTATGGCCAAGTTTATCCCTGTTATATAGTTCATAAATACTACAACAAGCTCACTATTTATCATTACTTTTTTCAACCTTTCTGACAATTTGTCCGTTCCTCCAGCACAAAATCCCAACTATCCTTCAAGGTCAAACGCAACTCGGGTCATTTTTGATTCATTTGTTTTCGTTTTCGGGTTTCATTTTTTGATGATAGTTTGCCATAATAACTTGTCTTATTGGTTGGCTTACTATTCCTCATGATTTTAGCAAATCCGATCATTTACTTTTAATAAAAATTATTAGGTAAACTTTCTACAGTGAAGCAGGCATCACTATGCCATTTAAATTCGGCCTGGACCTCATTAGGATTTTATCAGCAATTTCAACCAGATGTGAACTCTGTTCATCTGCCTAAAGTAGCTACACTTCGCCACTTCGCCACTGCCACGATTTGCATTGGGTCAGAGGGACAGTGAAACCTTCAAAGCAAGCCAAATTTGTAATTGACACAGTAAACTTATATTTGTTACTACAATCGATCACATTATTGTGTTCTACCTAAGCAGGTATGTGAATTATCAATTAAACCATAACAAAAACCTGAGCCACCTTAGGTTTGATGAAAATAGTATATGCATATCTCTCAATGTGTCCGAATGTAATAGAAAATATATGTTTGTCTTTCTGATAAGATGGCTACGATAATTGTGGATTTTGTGATGCCTGACTTACCTTTAATGTACCATCTACTTTCTGGCCCACTGACACTTTCGGCTCTGGGTATGATTTCATCTAGAATTTCGGATTTGGTCAAAACTGCATGCCATCTAAATATGACTACCTTTTGAAAGGTAAAATAAATTGAAATTCACCGGCTTTGGGAGACCGTTTAGTCGTCATTTTGATAACTTCAATTATCAGCAGTTACATCCCTTCAAGCTTACTCCGATAAACTTACTCAAGAACGAAATATAACTTTGATATCGTTTGTGGCTGGCATACCTTGCATTTTGTTTGAAAATGCGGATGGAAGGTGGTCATAAATTGGCATCACTGGATACCAAAGGAAGGCTACCTTGAACTTGTGACTGATTGATTATGCGAAGAAACCTCTGGCTCACCGTCATGCAACCCCGATGGAGGTGAGCCGAGGTCTTCTTCGCATTATCAATCAGTCATAAGTTCAAGATAGCCTTCCCTTGGTATCCAGTGATGCCAATTCATGAATCCCTTCCATCCGCATTTTCAAACAACATCATCAATCTATTAAGAAATTCTTTGAAACCCAATTATTCTTCATCGAGATCCACTAAGAATTTCAAAATCTACTAAAACAAAATATGATTATTTTTTTGCCAGTTAGACTGAGTTCCCAGCCCTTTTATCTCCTTACTTGTGTGTGTAGTAAAATAAAGGCAAAAATGGAAAAATTTGAGAAAGTGGCTAAAAGCTTATCCGTGCCTATATACATTTTTTGGGTTTCTCGTAACCCCATACGTCCGATCTGCCCTGCTGAACAGTTTGCATGGCTCAAAGACTTTGGCATGAACAGGTGGGTTTGTGAATTTGTGATGGCTAATTCTGTCTTCATTCATGCTCGATTCTCTATATTTTGCCCTTCTTTCCTCTCCAGTTGGCTGAAGCTCAGAAAAGGCAGTTTGAAAACCGGGTTGTCGAACTTGAGCGCCGACTGGCAGAGCGCGGATTGATAAGTCCTGCTGCACTTGAGGCAGAGCGAGCAATGGAGAACGAAATTTTGCATTTAAACTCTGAGAATCTGAATTTGAAATTTGAGCTCGAAACAGTTCGCTTGGAGATTCCGCGACTTAAGGTTTGTTTTTAACTAATTTTTTAAATATGTATTCATCGGATTGTTTAGGTACGAGTTCGAAAGCCTCAATATGAGGACAGTTATTTTGGAATTCCGCCTAAAGGCTGTCGGTGGCAATTAAATGTATTAAATTACCTATAATCAGGTTTATCAACTCGGCTTAATAGGAACCAGAAATCCAACCTCATTGTTCTACTTTTTAACTATAATTTCATAGAAATAAGATAAAGTCTATTCCAATTCATTGTTAGTTTATTATATTTTTTGTGATACACTTCTTACGAATCAAGATCATTTAAAAATAAGTAAACCTTTTCTATCTTTTTATTCAGGAATTCATTTATAATTATGAATACTCTAACATTATTAGAAAACTATTATTTCAGGATATATTTTTTTATTTACAAGAAAACGCACAAGTTGAGTGGTCGATGCTGGAAAGTTATTTCCAACTCGGTTGATAATGGCCTCGGAGAGCAAGAGCATCTTGAATACTACTATTTTATTTCCTGATTAAACCCTAAATAATTTCCAATCTGACTGGTCCCACGACCACACAGTTTGCTTAGTTTTAAGTTATGCTAAACGTATTTTCTAAAAGTACTGGATGGCGACTAGAATGCCCGAAAATGTCCGAGAATGTATCAAGTACTCAAAGAATTCATTGCTCTAACTTTTATTCAACGCTTTCTTTGTCTATCATTAAAATGCTATGCTCTTTTCTCAAAGACCAGCATATTTGCACTAATTTTTTCATCATTTTCCTTCAACAGTCTCGTGTCCAAGACCTTCAAAAATACGTGGACGTGCTGCGTAAGGAAAAGGCTGCCTTAAAGGCTGGTCGACAGCTTGACCTCTCCCAAGACTCAGATGCAAGCTCCATGGGCAGTATACGAAGAGTAAGTGATTTTATACGCTTTTTTTATATTATTTTTCCCTCCTAGTTAACCCGTAAAACTGGAATTATGTATGGATCGTTTGCTTACCAACTGCAAATATATGAAGGACCCGATGTATTAATTAATCATTATCAGCACCTAGTGAAATGTACACTTAGAATCAGAGTCCATTTTTTCATTTAATTTTTCTTCTCGAGCATCTGCTCTTGAATGAACTCTCTTATCTACTCATCTACGGGGAAAACGGCTTGTACACAAATGAGCAGATACTGGAGAAATTTATGCTAATACAATGCTAAGACATAATGGTACCATTTTTCCCTGTGACTCACTGGCACTAATGGGAGTGTGGCTTATTAGTGGCGTTGTGTCAGGATTACACACTCCGCTACCCCAAATGGGTTAAAGTGCGGCTTTGGATGCTGATGAGGCCAGTTCAGGCGATGACGAAATTACAGTCTAGTCCAGCTTAGATGAGAATACTTTTTGGAAAGCAAGGCCTTGTTAAATCCAATGGAAACGTGGGAAAATTCAAATGCCAGTCCTTCATTAACTTAAACGAAACAGGATAAATACCGCTCGTATATGGAATTATATTCATTCAGGAGAGATTAAAGAAATGAGATTTATTTACCCTATTTCGTATAAGGTGATGAAGGACTGGAAGCAAAATTGTCCCACATTGATATT